TTCTGAGTGAGGAAGCCTCCTTTACCAATTCAGATCTGCAACTGTTCTTCAGTGAGTTGACGTGACCACAGAGAGGTTAAGTCATTGGCCCAAAGTCACACAGCCCCATGTATCTGAGGCAGAACATGAACCCAGGCCTTCTTACCATGCTACCTCTCAATATGGGGCATCAATCAATTTAAATTAAGACATCATTTCAGAGTAATTTTGATTGCATTCATTTCTGAAGCAGAGCATCACTTTTATTTTATCTTTCCTTTAATAACCTTTACAAATATTAATAGTTTTCCTGCCCAGTCTCCTGGGGGAGCTATTAAAATCCACAGACTGTAGCTGATGCCATTGTCAGAGAGAAAATAAATTCCCAAGGCGGGATTTGATTTCAAACCTGAGTCCCATGCCTAGAAAACTTCTAGCCTGCTTAGGCCACCAGCTTTGCTGTCTGAATACTCAGAAGATGATAATTAACCAACTAACATCTGTGGATGTATCAACCAAGTCCCTCTCCAGAAAACCTGCATGGAGCAGAGAGAGAGCCAAGTGCATGAGAGCAGTGCAGGGGGACCAGGACGAGGAGCAGGACGTGAGGATGTTTGGCCTGCAGGAGATATGGGCAGGGTGACAGTAGGGAAGACATGATATCTATGAAAAAGAAGAGCAACTGGTAGATATGGACTGATGGATTTGGGTGGGAGGTGAGGGAAAAACCTTCTGACAACTAGATCTACCCCAAAATGAAATGACTCCCTTGGAGGTTAGCAGGTTCCTCCTCAGGCACCTTCAAGCAGATGCTGTAACATGATGTTGTTAAAAGATTCCAGCTGGACCCAAAGGCATCTGAGGTGTCAACCCCTCCCCCCATGCCTAGTACGGCGGCTGGCACATTTGTTATTGTTCAGTCAGTCGTGTCGGATTCTCCGTAACCTCAGGCCCCTCTGTCCTCCACTTCCTCTCAAAGTCCGTCTGGAACATAGTTGGTGCTCAGTAAGTGCTGTTAATTGATTGATTGATTCCTACCTTCAGAAGTTGTGATTCTATGTGTTTGTTTTTGGCCATGATTAAGAGCCATATTTACTATCAATCATCCAAAAAACATTTATTAAGCACATATTAAGCACCACGCACTCTTACCCTTCCTTGAGTTGAGCCCCAATTTAAGATATTACTTAAAATACAGATTTCATGGTCCATCAAAGAACAAAGGGGAAGGAGTCTAGGCTTCACTTACAAATGAATATCAGAACCATAGACAGCTGTAGCAGATCAAAGAAACCTTGGGGCTCAAATCTCAAGAAAATAATATCACTTTCTGTTCACAGACCTTCTCCCTGTCACCTTGGGGGAAAGGCCCAAACTCATCCCACACCATCTGCAAAAGGACTTCCTAGAATCTTTCTTCTCTCTTCATTCTAGTGTGATAAAATGAAAAAGTAAGTAAGCCATTGATGGGAATCAAGAGACCTGGGCTCCAGAGCTAGTTCCACCAACCAACCAGCTGTGTCTCTTCAGGTAAACTGTTTCCCTGTCCTCACCCTCAGTTTCTTTGGCTGTAAAAACAATGGAGTTGAAATATATGACCTCTAATTCCCTTCCATCTTTAAATATATGATCTCTTGCTTTTCCATTCCCAATCCAATCCTTTTCTGTCCTGTCTCTTTGCTTAGGAGGCAAATTTCTCCACCTCTAAGACCTTGTCTTCTATTTCCTTTGTAAGTCCTCAGAGCACCTACTATGGATTTTGCACCATGGTATTAGAGATAAAGTAAAATCTATTGGTTTAATTAATAAAAACTTCCATTTGCTCACTTTGAGGTTTGTAGCGCGTGTTCTTCAAATATCTCTTGTGCATTAGGGAGTCCAAACATTGATATTCTCATTTTTATTGATGAGTGAACTGAACCTCTGAAAAGTTAAGTACTTACCTGTGGTCACACAGCTAGAAAACACCAGTGTCAAGATTTAAAGCCAGGTCTCCTGACCGTAAGGCTGTGTCTGTTTCCAGTTTACCAAGGTGAAGCATAAAATATAATTCTCATTTTCAGTGGTCACAGTGGTGGAATCACAAAATCTCAGCATTGGAAGGGACTTTGGAGGCCAACTCATCAAACCCCAGACTTGAACAAGAAATTCTGATACATTCATACCAGAAAATGGTCATTCAAAATAGACTTCAAGATTTGCATTAAAGACGAAACCACTACCTCCATAGAAAGCTCATTTCCCTTTGGGATGTCTCTAATTTTAGGAAATGTTTGCTTGTATTAAGTTTAAATTTTACCTATTGCTACTATTCCTGGTACCTGGGGTCAAGCAGAAAAGATAATCCCTATTCTTTGTGACAATATTCCAAATACTGGAAGACAGCAATTCTCTCCCACCCAATTCTCACATTCTTAGGTTCTTCCAACAATCCTCATTAGTCATGAACTCTAAGCCTTTAATTATTCTGGTTAAACTTCCTCCTCTAGGTTATCAATGCCCTTCCTAAAATATGGCACCCAGAATTGAACCCAATACTCCATTTTGTTTCCATCATAATAGCACAGAGTAGCATTGTCATCTTCCTAGTACTGGACACTAGGCTTCCCTAAATGCAACCTGACTTCATATTAGCCTTTTTTTTGGCTTACCATATCACACCATTGACTCATATTCAACTTGAACTCCACTAAAACCCTCAGATCTTTTTCAGATGAATTATTGTTTAGCTAAACCTCCCCTTTAACACTTATGAGGGTGAGTTTTGATTTATCCTAAATACATTTCATCTTATTATATTGGGGCCACTATTGTAATCATCAAAAGGGCTTTGAATCCTCTCATTTATGGGTTAAATATTCCTCTATGCTTTGTGTCATCTGCAAGTTCAACCAGCATACAACCTATTCCTCTAATGAAAATGCTAAAAAGCACAAGGCCAAAACCATTCTTGAGTAGGAAAATACAAATTAGAACAATTCTGAGATACCACATCATACCTATCAGATTGGGGTTAATACGACAGAAAAGGAAAATTATAAATGTTGGAGGGGATGTGGGAAAATTGGGGCAATAACGCACCATTGGTAGAGTTGTGAACTGATCCAATCATTCTGGAAAGCAATCTGGAACTATGGCCGAGGACTATAAAACTTTGTATATCCTTTGATTAAGCAAGAACACTAATAGGGTATATCCTAAGGAGATAAAACAGGCAGGGGGCGGGGAGGACCCACATGTACAAAACTATTCATAGCAGCTCTTTTTGTGTGGCAAAGAATTGGAAATTGAGGGGATGTCTGTGAATTGGAGAACGGCTGAGCAAGTTGTGGTGTATGATTGTAATGGAATACTCTTTGTACTATAAGAAATGAGTAGCAGGCTGATTTCAGAGAAACTTGGAAAAGCTTATTTGAATTGATGTAAAGTGAGCAGAGCCAAGAGAAGATTGCACGCAGTAACAGCAGTATTGTGTGATGATCAACTGTGAATGACTTAGCTATTCTCAGCAACACAACGATCCAAGACAAGTAGGAAGGACTTATGATGAAAAAGGCTATCCACCTCCAGAGAAACAACTGGTGGAGTCTGAATGCAGATCGATGCATACTATTTTGACTTCTTCACTTTTTCATGTTTTTTTTTTTCCTTTTGGGCCTGTGTCTTCCTTTACAAAAGGACTGCTATGGTAATATGTTTTGCATGGTTGAATATGTATAACCTAAAACATATTGCTTGCTGTCTTGGAGAGGGAGGAGGTGAGGGAAGGAGAAAATTTGGAACTCAAAAAAAATTTTTAAATGAATCTTAGAAATTATCTTTATTGGGAAAAAATAAAATATTAGTTAAAAAAAGCACAAGGCAAAGCACTGAATACAAAAGTATTCATGGACTTTCTTATGGACTTTACATATATTGTTCTAGACTAGTGGGTACAAGGTCATTTGTATGGGTGGGCTCTCTAGCTCTCTTTAAGCCCAAGGATTTAGAAACATTTATTGGAATCATGCAGAATTGTGTACAGTGTATGAGACCTGAATTTCAGGACTAAAGGGGCTATATCATAAGGTCATTGAGGGCAGAGGTTGTACTGTTTTGCATTTTTGTATCTCCTAGCCTAGTTCTTGTACACAGTTAAGTGTTTATTAAAGGTTTGTTGAGTGAATCAATCAATCAATCAATGGCAATGGAACATTCCACTCCAAATGCTTGTGCCCTCTTCCTTTCCAAAGCTTTGCCTTCTACGAGCCCTGTGTAGGTGCAGGCTGGCAGAGTCAGATGGCTATGGGGTAGGAAGATAGCAGGGTAAGGAGGAAGTACCCTTCCTTGTTAATACCCTAGGTTGAAACCATGACCACACCACCATGTTTCTGAGCTTATGTGGATAACTGTCAATGTTTAAGAGAACTTAAAAAATGGAAATTCATTGGGAATCTTCATAGGGAAAAACCCCCTGAAGTTTTGAGGATTCCAAAAAAGAGGGGGAGGAGAGGTGGACAAGCCTGAGAGTAAATTATTATTTATCACAAAGAAAAGAAATAGCCAGAGAATCTTATCCATAAAAGGGACTTATAAGGTCATCTAATCCATTTCCTTAGCTCCCAGTAACTCACTGCTCAATCCGCACTACAACAGAAGTCTACCCAAGAATTTGAATAGTAATAGGCTGGGGGCATCTTGGAACAGCCACAGATGTCATAATAATCACCTTGAAAGCTTTGGAAGAGCAAAGGAATTCATGGGGGCGGGGTATTGCAAAGATGGTTCTATTTTCAACTTTGACAGAAAGGATTGTTTTTTTGGGGGGGATTCATAATTTACAGGGTACAAAGACCTATTCTGACATACATGGTTATTTATCTACTATCTATTCATCACCTATCTATCTATCTATCTGTCTATGTATCTATCTATCTGTCATTTAGGGGTCTATCACGTAGTTATCTATCTCTATAGCAACAATCACCATAGTGCTGGAGTGTTTTGACATTCTAGAACCAAGTTTCTGGGAGTTCACAGGAATGGGTAGTGGCAGTTTGACCACCAAGCAAAGAAAGGGACATCGAAACCTTCCTGAATGCCTGGTGCTCTGGGGCAAGGCTTTCTGAGGTCCAGTGCATGGTGTCCCAGAATGTGAAAGACATTTTGGCAGGTGATGTTTTCCCTCATGTTAGAAAAGGGAACAGGTATAGATTGCCTTTTAAGGTCTTCCCTTCCTAATTTTCTCTGGCTTTTCCCCCCATCCTTCTTTTGAATATGCATGTCTTCCTCCCACTATGCCTTCTGGCAAATTTCCAGGGATTTTATCAAATGCTCCTAGGGAGTGAATTACTCATTTTAGGTTATTTAAATGAGAGAGATGCATAATACGGCTTCACATTCGAATTTCATGAAATCCTGTCTATGAACCCTTTCATCTGCATTCATCTCTATGCCCTTAAACCCTGGCTTGCTTTTGCCTGGCTCCTCCCTGGAAGGTGCTAAAAGGAAGCAGAGTCTATTAATTGGCTGCTAAACAAACAAAGGAGCCCATGGAGCTCAACTGCAACAGGATTAAAATTAAGAAAACATGCTTTTCATAAGCAAGACGCATGGTGAGTCCTGGGAGCATTCAATGGGGCACGAGCTTTCCAGGAGAAATGTGCCCATTTTCAATAGGGCTTTGTTACCATTCTTTAATATGTTCAAATATTTGCATCCAATACCTTGGGGAAACAGGTTGTGAGGTTAACATCATTGGGATGAGCTAACTTTAAACCTGAAAGGGATAGAGAGGGGCAAAGGCGGAGAGAGAGAGAGGAAGAAAGGTATCAGGGAGAGCTAGAGATAAAAAGACAGTGAGCATTCCTTCTGGTCTTTAGTTTGTCTGGCTAAGAAGAGGGGCATCGGAAAGGCATGATGGAAAACTAGATGAATAAGAAGAAAACAAGAGAGAGGGAGAGGGGGATGAGGGAAGAGGAAGGGGAACAGTAGGGGAAGGAGAGGGACAAAGGGGGAGAGGGAGAGAAAGAGAGGAAAAGGGGGGAAGGAGGAAGAATTCTCCATAGGAAAGATCCAGTGAATTTTCTTCTCCCTCTATTTGTTGTTGGTGAGTCTTTTCAGTTGTGTCCAAACTCTTTGTGACCTCATTTCGGGTTTTCTTGGCAAGGATACTGGAGCAGTTTGCAATTTCCTTCTCCAGCTCATTTGGCAGAGGAGGAAACTAAGGCGACTTGTCCAGGGTCACACAGCTAGTAAGTGTCTGAGACCAGATTTGAACTAAAGAAGAAAAGTCTTCCTGATTTCAAGCCCAGGACAATCTACAAATGAACCCATGTGATTTTGCTATAAAACTCTGAGTGTATGGAATGTTAATAAAGAACAAGGGGAAAAGCATTGAAGAAAGACTTTGAAATAACTGCATTTCTCCTTATCCATTTCTGTGGATAGTCATAGGGTCAAATTATATTCCCTCCATTTACGGAGAACTGAATTGGGTTTATTATTTTACAGCAATGCCAAAATAGGATAGACTTCTCCCAAAAATTCAGAAATTTGGGCAGTTCGCTAGACAAATACTTATTAATAACAAAGTTTTTATTAATAAGAACCAGTGTGAGTATAGCATGCATCTCCAAACTTTTACATCACATGCTCAAGTGGCTTGTAAGATAATTTCCATGGCTCTGATTTGTAGGCACAGAATAAATAAATGTTTGTTGGTTGCTTGATTGATTTCAAGGAGCCAGCCTATGTCACCAGTATTGGTGACCAGAGCTGTAACTAGCAACATTGGTGCCAAAATAAGTGGCACAAAAAGTGTCAGGGTGAGTATCATTAAGCTTGCTTTCAATTTTGTTGAAGGAAGGTGACAGATACCTTGGGCCATGGAGGGGAGCAGGGCAAGAATGGGCCAGGAAGGTGCCCACTTGGTGTATGGCCAACACAGGGGAAAAGTCAGTGTCTTATCTCTTCCTATTTAACTAAGCTCAGATGTTTCCATGAGTCTGAAGGATTCAAAGAGCGGTCAGTACCCCTTCTAAATGCTGGCACCAGGAGGCAAAGCCCTAACTGCCCCACACTTGCCAGAGCTCAATCGGTGACTCTCACGCCCTTACTCAATGAACATTTATTTAACCAGGGTTATTTGCACTGTATAGTCAGTTTCCATGAAAGGTTCTCCCTCCTTTTCTCTCTTTCTTCTTTCTTGCTACTCTTTTATTCCATTTTTCCTTCCTTCCTTCCTTCTTGTGCCTCAAGCCATGGAGTACTATGTATACACATTTTCTAGCTTGGTTGCTGGTACATGGGGCTAAAAATATGTTAATTTCCATTTCACTGCATACGCTTATAAAATGTCAGATGTGGCTGAGATCTCTCTGAGATTTCAAATGTTCTTCAAAGAGAAGAATAAACTGGTATTTCTGACTGAAGGCTTGGATTGGATATAGCAAAGTGGGAAAAAAAACTAACACGAAAATAAGACCCCATGTAAACAGGAGATTATTATTACTTAGATTCCTATAATGTGCCCATCATATAGATCTCTAGGGACAATTGCAGCCCATTTTCACATAATTATGTGAAGAACATGTATTTTATATGAGATGGTGAAATTAAATACAAAATAGGACATTTTGAAAGAGCTGTAATGTTTTAAATGAAGAAATGAAAGTGTCTTGAGGCATTTGGAGGATAGAAAATTTAGATGCCAGGTTTGTAAAAGGCTATATTAATTCCAAGGAAAATACAGGATAAAAATAAAATACCTAAAGAGGAAAATGAAAGATCTGCGATAAAAATCAACCTATATGATTCAAGTGATTAAGTCTGACTGCTTAACAACAGGGATTTTACAACATGAGGCTGGATTCCTGATAGCATTTCAGCGGCAGGGTATTTTTATCACTACGAGGAGAATGTCTCAATCTACCGTGTAGTTGTTTCCACCCATTTGGGAAGCAGTCCCATTGCAGAATTTTGTAAAATCATACAACTGAAAGAAACCTTAGTGATTATTTAGCCAAATCTTCTCACTTTTATAGATGAGACCATGTTGATTTGCTTAAAGTACTGGGATGCATCGGGCTTAGAATATTGCGTCAGATTCATACATCTGATGCCAAAGTTGATCATGAAGCTATGGCCAAAAATAAAAAAAAGGAAATATTTATCTTTTAGAAAAGAAAAAATTTTCAGAGGGTTTTTTTGAGATGAAATGTGGTGAACAGTTCCAGGGCGATGGGAGTCTATCCATCGCACTAAAATCAGTTAAATCTTTGGTCACTCGATACACTCTATGATCATAGCTATTTAGAACTGTACCAAAGAACTGAAATCATATCTTCTACTTCTTCCTATGATGTACTGAGAGGATCTCAGAGATGGAAGGGGCCTTGATATCCATCTAGTAGTACAACTTGTACCTCAACAAGGGGCCTCTCAATAAAGCCTCGACCAGTGGTCAACTTGGGCTTGGGAACCTCGAGTACAAAGGAATCCACCTTCTCCCTAGGCAGACAGCTAGGAAGACAGGAAGTTCATCTATATTATAAGCAAAAAGCTGCCTCTCTATGATTTCAGTCCATTACTGCTCTCTTTTCTGATCCCCCTAGCCAAGCAGAGTGGCTCTTATACTTCTTCTATGGGACAATACTTCAAACAATTGAAAGCAACTATCATGGTGTCTCTAAACTCTTCTTTTCTCCAGGTTAAACATCCCTTATACTTTTAACCTATCCTTATATGGCATGATATCGAGTCCCTGCAACCTTTCTTCTGTATGCTTTTCCACGTGCACACACACACACACTCACACACATGCATGTCAATAGAAAAAATGTCTTGTGATAGAAACTTAATGTGGATGTATACCAAGATATTTCCCTTGATAGGATACCCCATCATTAGATACATAAAATATGTTTATCCTTCATACGGTTTGTTCCTTATATTAATTATCTTCCTGTTTTTGTCACCAGATTTTTATCTCAGTGGAAAACTGTTCTCCAAAAGACTGAAATTACCTCCAGTTTTATACAAGTCCGCAACACAGCCAGGAAACTGAACTATACCCTCTAGGAAAGGGCATTCACTTTGTTTATACGCCAGAAGAGTGTCTAGGAGTAATTATGGGAACCTAAGGCTGGGGAAAGCCAAAGATTTTCACTTCAAGGAAGCCATTTTTAATCTGTTGTTTAATGGGAAGGTCAATGAATCTGTGGTGGCCCCCCAGGCCATCCCTCCACCCTGGCAGATTCATGGCTGGACAATAAAGGGCATAAAGGTAGCATGGATTTGGAAGGAGAGGACCTGGTTTTAAATCTCAGCTCTGGTCCTCACTTCCTATGTCCATCATTTTAGGTAAGTCACATAACCTTTGTGGACTCCATTTTCTCATCTTTAAAATGCAGCAGTTGGACCAGATTAGAGGTGTCAGACTCACAGATGCTGGCTACCAAACTCTGGCAGTGCTAGGAATTAGGCGGAAATGTAATTGGGAAATGTTTAGCAAAGTAAACAAGCTGCAACATAGATAATGTTGGCTTGTGGTTTTCTCCCTCACTAGGCAGCCTGCATAGTGATCCATTTCTATCTGATGACTGGACTAGCAGGCTGTACAAACCTTCCCAGCTCTAAATGTATACTTTAAAGAACTGGAAGTCCTCTTTTTCATGATATGGGAATTGCAAATATTTATAGGTACTTCTTTACCCAGGAGGATACTAAGGCTTATAGCCTGATGCTTTCTTAGACTATACCAAGAAGACTGTTCATGATTTACAGGTGTTCCACTTCTCATAATGAAGCAACAATCCTGTTCACACATGAAATACCCTAGATTCAATCATGTGAATTATCCTTTCATTAAAATTACTAGTAATAGCTTTATAATTATATTTGCAAAACATATTCAGCAGAGAAATAAACATGCTCTCTGCAGTGCTTGGCTTCTAGGGGCAATAGATATGGATATGTTGTTTTTTCCACCCGCAAGTGATTTATTTTAAATGAAATGAATTTTCCACTTTGAAAACAATAGAAAAGAAATCCACCACACACTCTTGAGTGAGTTTTCAGATGGCTGGCTCTGCAGGCACTTTTATTTCAGACATGTGCTGGAGCCACATACAACTGGGTTCTTGGGATTTGAGGAAAAATGAGAGTCTGAAATTTTCACATGAAGGATATCCAAACTTGGCCGCGTACAAGTCTTGACGTTTCAAAATGGCTAGCAATCACATTGTTGATGGCAGACTGAGGACAATGGGTTTCCTCGTTGACTTCCGAGGAGTAAACAACTCTTAAGAGAGCCATGCAGGGCTTTAAGGAGAACAAGAAACACATCTATGGCCTTATCATCTTCTACCAGGAGGTTTGAGCAGGAAGCTATTGTGGTGACCAACCTCCATTAATGTTATTAGCTACTTATTGATCAACGGCAAGAAAAGCTCACCATCAGAAAGGTTCTAGAATATATCTAGCCACTAATACCATTTTTCTTTACAACATGATTTTATTATGAAAGACACATGTAGGATAAGCCATTACTGCAGCAGTAGTTTCAGACAGGATTTAGGTGAATGAATGGGTCCAAACAACGCCAGTCTGACGATCAACAAAAACCATTCAGTATGCCTGTCATTACTATCACCTCTGCTCCACAATCAGTGGCCCCCTGGGGACTGCCTGCACCCAGAACAGGCTCAGATGTACGCCTCGGATTGGAAGCCGCCTAAGCTTGCCCTAATTTCGACTCAAATCCATTGACGTGGTCTCAAGGATCCCTGTTGTTGTTGTTCGGTCATTTCAGTCATGTCTAACTCTTTGTGACCTCATTTTGGGGTCTCTTGGCAAAGATACTGAAGCAGTTTGCCATTTCCAACAGAAGAGAAAATTGAGGAAGATGGATTTTAAGTGACTTGCTCACGGTCACATAGCTAGTGTCTCAGGCTGGATTTGAACTCAGGTCTTTCCGACTCCAGGCCAAGCACTCCATCCACTGTGTCACCTAGCTGCCCCCTATGAAATGCTGGCCTACCCTGAAAACAAACAGCCAAGCCCTGCATCAGAGCACAACAAACTCCTCTGCCCCCTTGACTTACAGGGAGTGTATGAAGAACACCAACCGCAAACCTGGGGGATCTAGGCACAAGTCTCTCCTCTGACACAGACTAGTGATGTGACCCTGGGCAGATCACCTGATCCTCTCCATGTCCCAGGCCAGGGGTGTCGAGCTGCAGGAGAAACGGGGGCCACTAACTCATACACAAGGATCCCTGCAGGGCACATATTGACTCAGTTTTAAAATATGATGCTATTTGTGTTTGATTGTGGATTTATTTATTATGTCAAATATTTCCTAATTAGATTTAATATGGTTCAGGTGAGTTGCCTGCAATGTCTGACCACCTAAGAGAGGAGAGAGGGGAAAGGGAAAGAGGATGAATAGGGAGGAGGAGAGGAGGGAGGGAGAGGGAGAGAAAGAGGGACAGAAGAGGGAAAGAGAGGGGAAGATGGGGGGAGAGTGAGAGTGAGAGAGAGAGAGAGAGAGAGAGAGAGAGAGAGAGAGAGAGAGAGAGAGTGAGGTGCCAGGAAGGTCAGATAACTGCCTCTTTTTAGACTCTTTTTAGACTCTGATGAGGAACAGTCCAGGACCCAGAACTTGAGAACCTCAGGAATTATAATGTTTTCATCCCAATGGCCACAGCCATCATTCCTGGAAGCAATCTCTTTGGAGATGCACCCTGGCCACTCTTTTTTTTTTTTAAATTTAAGTCCCTTCCAGTTCTGACATTCTAGGTTCTAGGGTCTCCATACAAACTAAACAATCTATGATTCTACACAGAAGGGAAAATGCAGTAAATTTTAAGCTTTGTAAGGAGGCAGTCTGTATTTCTTCTCTTTTCTTTGTATTAGTAACTTCCTAGCTATTCCAGGAGTCATACCAATATTTTACTAACATAATTTTAATTTAAATATTATTTAATTTTGAAAACTTTAACTTTCTAGGAAGTAAAATTAATTGGAAAGAAACAGTAGAAAGGGGTCAGAATATGCTAGAAATACTTCTAATGAGATGAAGGGCAAAGGTCACTCTTTCTCTCAGAACCACAGAATCCAGGAAGCTGAAAAGGGCCTTGGAGAAGAAGTCCAGCGTTTTCCATGATGCATGAAAGACACAAGTCAGCCTGGCCACTCTTGAAAGTGCTACAGTCCCAGCTACAGAAGACCTAGAAAAAAAAACCCCTTCTCATCATCCATGTCCTAGGCATTGTTAAGGGCTTCAACATCAGGAACTCCTGGGATTTTGTAAGTGTAATGACATTAAAGAATCTGCCTCAGACCACAGAACCCTTCCACCCGACGTGCACCGAGAATGTCCATCTGCGCTATTTCCTCCATCAGAACGTGAGCTTTTGGAGAGCAGGGACTGTCTCTGCTTTTCTATTTGTATACCCAGCATGGAGCACACAGTAAGTGTTTAATAATAAATGTTCTTTTTATTCATTCACAAAGTACTCTGTATTTAACTACCTTGTATAAGTTTGTAATTTTTCACTATACCTTTACGCTGTGTATATTTGCAGATGATATGTGTACTTGTGGACTTCCCAATTGGGATGTAAGTTATCTGGCTGAATGTTCACAGAGGCTGCTTTCCGAAATGATGGCTGTCAGCCCCCCAAATGGAAGCATTACTATTCTTAAGGTTCTTGGGTTCCGAGTCCTGGGCTATTTCCCTTAGGGCCTAAGGGGAGAGGGTCAGGACTTGTATGCTTAGCATCTAAGCCAGTGCTTGGCACATAGGAAGCATAGAATATGTATGTGCTGACTGATTCACCAATGAAATCAGCCCCTATCTATAACTCTCCCCACCAAGTCATCACAAACATAAGCCCTACTTCACACTCAATATACATCAAGGTCCTTCTACCACAACCACAGCAAAATAGTCTTATGCAGTCACCTGGGATTCAGAGGAGAGGTGACTTGCATATGGTCTCACAGCTAGACTTTGTTGGGTCAGCCTGACTCGAAAGTCAACATTCTACCCACAATGACCCATTGCCTCACTATTCTCTTCCAACATCCTAGTTTCCAAGGTTGTTGATTCCCAACCTTTTATTTTGTGTTATTTCAACTCAGCCTATTCAGATAATGAATCCAAAATATACACAAACACACACACGTATATGGGATCTACATTATCTATCTACGTAATATATCTATATACCTATATGATATAAATCACTATGATATATACCTATATAATCTATATCTATGACATATATCTATATAATATATCTACTTCTATGATCTATTACGTATCTATATTATATATGTATGTTTCAGTAGGAGCTAACTGTAATGTTTCAGCAAGGTGGTCCCTTCAAATATTCTGATACACTGTTCTGTCAGCCATCCTGGAAGTGAGATAAAAAGACAATGGATAGCCATGCAAACCTGTTAACATCTGCTCAAAGCCAACACTCACTCCGCCTCTACTCCTTCCCACACTAAAGCAAGCTAGCGTTCATTTGGATAATTCCTTGAAGCCCCGAACGCTTTACATATCACGTTTCCACCAAGTTTCATTTATATAATTAGTGCTAACATATGGCCCACAATCAGCATCAGAGATTTGGAATCATTTTTAGCATTCCTTTAGGCCTAAAGGGGGATGGATTCAATATGAAGGCAAGGGAATTAGGCATGCAAATTCCATTTACAATAACGAGAGTGTGGCAATGAAAACGTACCCCCAAAAGATTTGATGGCTAATCACATTGTAAGCAAAAAAGAATTACTTACCTAATATGCAAAATAACCTACATCCAATGGGACAAAAATTAACAAGACGTTCATCTTATCCTGTGCGCCTTTGGTTGCTCTGTGGACCCCCAAAATAACCCATTTGGGTAGCCCTGTTAACACAAATTGACAGGGGAAACTCTCTCTGAATGATTTGCTTTGGCTGGGAATAGCGGGCCAGATTCACCAAGGATCTCTCTGAAAGGCCTTTGCCTTCTTGCTGTGGAAGCCTAGGCACACTTCTGGGTAAATAAACTGCCCTGCACACAGTAGGTGTTTAAATGTTTGAAGCCTTATTAAACTGTGAACAAAGAGCTGGAGGTGGAAGCAGAAGGCCCAGCTTCAAGTACGTGTTCCCTCTTTCACCACCTGTGTAGGCCTGGGGAAGGCATTTTTGTTCTCTGTGCCTCGGTTTCCCCATACGGAAAATAAGGGGGTTGCAGCAAATGATCTCCAAGGCACTTTCTAGGACTGGATTTATAAGCCTGCGATTTGTTTGGAGTGTGTTACCCGATGAGGTATAATCTGGAAATAGTAGAAGAGGGCCAACAAGGAGAAAATGGACGAAGGACAATTACCCCTTCCTTGTCCTGGGATGATGGTATTTGTTGTTATTGTTCGGTTGTGTAGGACTCATGAGCTGTGAAGCACGCTGTCCGTGGGATTTTCTTAGCAAAGATACTGGCGTGCTTTGCTGTCTCCTTCTCCAGGTGATTAAGGTGAACAGAGATTAAGTGACCTTCCTAGGGTCACACAGCTAGTAAGTCTCTAAGGCAGGATTGGAACACCTGACTCCAGGTCCAATGCTGTATGAACCATGGCACCCCCAACTGCCTCCTGTGATGGTATTATTGAGAGGCATTATAGGACAGTGGCTTGAAAGTTTAGCTAGAAATCAGCAAGATTTATGTTCAGTCCTTATCTCTGACATTTAATTGCTGTGTGACCGTGGGCAAATCACATAACCTCTCTGATCTACAAGCAATTCCCCAGCACTTATCTACTAAGTCACAGAGATGTCAAATCCAAGTTAGCAGAAGGAGTTTTCCTTGCCCCTATACCATGAATTACTTATACTGATGAAATCGTAGATCTTTCATACATTTACATGGTATTATTGGGTTTTTTTTGGGGAAAATAACATTTCCCTTTGAATTATAAGAAAGATAATTACTAGAAAAGAAATGTGTTTAATAACATGGCAGTTGGAGGATGCCACATGGTATTAATATCTCCAAAGTATCTTCATTATTACAAATCAATACCTTGCCCTTGTGATTTTCTTTGGGGTCTTTAGAGAGATTTACATGGTTAGACATATCATATTCTTGTCTGAATGAAAAGGACTCTGCCATGTTATAGAAAAGAACCCTTCTACAACACAAAAAAGTGACATGTGGCATCCCTGGTTCCTGAAAGAAATATGCATTTTGAAGACTGATAATTATCTGATTGTGGATAGCCATCTTACTCCTATGCAATGCGACAGTGAAGTAAAAACTGAAGGAATCTAATTAATTCTACTACTGCTGTAACATATTCTCCATAGCCAGTCTTAACTCCTGAGCTTCCTTCTAGGCCACTCATGGGTATTACCTCCTATGGAATTTTTTCCTCATTCTCCCACATTGTTTTTAAAAGTAATTGATCATAATTTAACATTAAATATCCATACCTAGCACAATTTCTGGCACATAGTAGGCATTTAATAAATGTTGATTTATTGAGTCAATTTATTAAGCTTGGCAGATAGATGATGCAGCAGATAGCACACTGGGACTTGAGTCAGAAAGATACAGGTTCAAATCCTGCTTCAGACACTAGCATTTTGCCCTAGGTAAGTCATGACATCTCTCAGTACCTGTTTCCTCCTCTGTAAAATGGCGATAATAATGGGGTTTTTGTGAGGACCATGAGATCAAATATGCACAAAGCTTTATAAATAGTAAAGTACTATTCAAATGCTGGCTATTGATATTAGAAATTCTTGTGATCATATTTAAATTAACTTACCATATAAGGCATAATGTAACTTTCCATTTTCAGTAAGATTTTTTGACCAATTAAAAAAAGCAGTTCTTTCTCGCACAGAAGGTGGTACCTAGGCCAAACCTGGACAGAAGCTCAGGGTTCTAAGATTGGCTACAAAGAATACATTGTGGCAAGCAGATCCTTTCAGTTTTTATAGCATCATCTCCCAGAAAAAGAGCAGGACTTTCTCCACCATCTAGTAATTGCCTGCCTTCAAATTGAAGCCAGTACCACTGCTGCTAATGAGGAGCCTCTGCAGTGGAGGAGGAAATGGAATCTCAGGACTTCAAAACATGGACTCCCCCCAACCCCTCCACATGTCAGAAGTTGTACTATATTATCCAGTGGTAGAAAAAATGCATAGTGGCAAAAGGCTACCATAAATTCAGTAAAGCTTTTAAATGAATTTTTGTTTTATTAATCATAATGGCATCTATATACGTTTGAAAAACAGTAGTGTGTATATGAGTGATACATTATTTACTCAGTGTATAAGAGATGAGTCTGATTATTTATGGATTCATGGGCCCCTTAAAGAATCCTTGTTCTCAGGTTGAGAACTACTGGTGAAGTAGAAAAGAACACTGGATTTGAAGTCAGAAGACTTGAATACTCTTTGAAAACTCACTCAACCTCTCAAGGTCTTAAGTTCTTCAAATGCATAATGAGAAGGCTTGGCTCTGAGATCCTTTCCAGTTCCTAACCTATGGCCATAGAACCTTGCTGAACTTAAATTTCCTCATAAAGAAAATGAGGGGATTGGACTGGATTACCTCCAATGTACTGGGATGCTCTGAATTGTGTGATACTGAGGAGGAAGAGAAGAGGAATGGAGTCAAAAGGCCCTCTAGGAGCAATGACCTCAGCCCGCGATATATAGACAAAGAAATATAGAATAAGTGGCTGAGTCATGCAAATTTGTTTGTGGAAGTAGAAAGAATTATGATAGTAATTCAAAACAACTTCTTTGCCATCAGCAGCTATGAAAAGGTACCCTTAAGGAACCCATAGTTGAAGAAAAATGTAGATTATTCAAGGAAGCAGTCCAGATAGTGGATCATACCACTGCAGGCTATGAAATACCTAGCCAGATGAGACCTGGTAGTTAGAATTCTCTACCAGAAGTTCACTATCTTTCACGGACTGACAGATCAACTCTGTAAATATATCCTAAAGAACTCAACTAAGAAATTGTGCTGGCACCGGGTCATTATCACAGAGCTAGCTTTCGCCTGCATTTACCCAAACCTAACACTGCTTCACAAAACTGAACAGCAACATTTTTGACAGATATTGCCATCCCCAATACTCATAATCTTCAAGTTACATGGAACAGAAAGTTTTCCAAATACATGGAGGTAGCTGAGGAGACAAAATCATGTAGGAACAGGAAAAATGTTTGCCAGCCATCCCTCTTGCCCTTTCCGCTACTGGAGATGTACTGGGGATACTTTCATCAAACCTACAGAGACATTAATTCAACCATAAAACCCAGCTAGCTTATCAACTTGTGCACCAAACATAAAGAAATAGCAGCAGCAGGATAGCAGTCTCAGGATGATCTCAGATCATCTTCATTGAGACAGTGAGAGACAATGATAATAAAACACCTATATTTAACACACACCAC